GCTGGTCTTGTCGCTGAGTCTGCGTCTATCTGTCCTCCATCCGTTGAGGGTGAGTGTGCCCTTGGCACGGACGTCCTTGAGGACAGGCAGGAGGAGTTCCAGTGCTTTTCTGCTGCTTCACCTCATCTTGTGTCCATGCTGCTTGCCCCTAAGGGAGACCCGGATGCACTAGACATCCCGACTCCGCGCTCTTACGCGGAGGCGATAGAGGGTCCCTACTCCTCTTAGTGGCAGGCAGCCATGGATGCAGAGATGGCTTCCTGGAAGTCCACAGGCACCTACGTCGACGAGGTTCCCCCTCCTAGGGCGAACATCGTCAGTGGCATGTGGATTTTCAGGGTGAAGCGGCCGCCGGGTTCTCCGCCTGTCTTCAAGGCGCGCTACGTGGCTCGTGGCTTCAGTCAGCGGCAGGGAGTTGACTACTTTCAGACCTTCTCTCCCACCCCGAAGATGACCACTCTTCGGGTACTACTGCACATAGCCGCTCACCGTGACTACGAGCTTCACTCTCTTGACTTCAGCACTGCTTTCTTGCAGCGGAGCCTGCACGAGGAGATCTGGCTGCGCCGTCCACCTGGCTTCACTGGGTCTTTTCCTCCTGGTACCCAGTGGAGCCTCCGGTGGCCAGTCTACGGTCTCCGCCAGGCACCTCGTGAGTGGCACGACACACTGAGGGCTACACTCGCGGCTCTTGGGTTTGCTCCTTCTACTGCCGACCCGTCGCTGTTTCTGCGCACCGACACTTCTTTGCCGCCGTTCTACATCCTCGTGTACGTCGACGACTTGGTCTTTGCCACAGCTCGCACTGCTGGATTCGCCCACGTGAAGTCCGAGCTGCAGAAGAGACACACGTGCACAGACCTGGTTGAACTGTGCAGCTACCTTGGCTTGCAGATCACCCGGGACAGAGCATAGCGCACCATTACCCTGACTCAGTCACACATGGTGCAGCAGGTCCTTCAGCGCTTCGGCTTCATGTACTCCTCGCCTCAGGCCACTCCTCTGTCTACTCGCCACTCGCTCTCAGCTCTGCCTTCGGATGAGTCCGTAGAGTCGAGTGGCCCGTACCCAGAGCTTGTTGGCTGCCTCATGTACCTGATGACCTGCACTCGACCTGACCTTGCATACCCTCTTAGCATTCTCGCACGCTATGTTGCTCCTGGGAGACACCGACCAGAGCACATGGCTGCAGCGAAGAGGGTGTTGCGCTACTTGTGTAGTACGTCGGGCATGGGGCTTGTACTTGGAGGGTGGAATCCAGTGGTCCTCACTGGTCACGCAGATGCTTCTTGGGCTGATGACCAGGCTACGCAGCGGTCGTCACAGGGTTACACCTTCAGTTTTGGTTCTGGCTCTGTTTCGTGGCGGTCTACCCGCTCGTCTTCTGTTCTCGGCTCCAGTTGTGAGGCTGAGATCTACGCGGGGGCCATGGCTGCACAGGAGTTACGCTGGCTCACCTACCTACTGATTAACCTTGGAGAGCCGCCTCATTCTCCTCCAGTTCTGTACGTAGACAACAAGGCCATGCCGGCCTTGTGTCGGGAGAACATGTCAAAATAAGAAGAAAGAAAGAGGATTGAACTAGCAAGAATGAGGATACAAATAGCAAACCCTAGAAGGGTTGTACTCGCTATAGAGCACCCCACTACAGGCTAGAACAATAAGATAATATTCTGACACACCCCCATAGCCAAAGTGGGGTGTAATCAGCAGAGCAGGCAAAGCAAAACAAGCTCAGGGTGGATCACAATGTCACCACACATTCTGAGCACAAGTTCAAGAAGAAATAGTTTAGAGTTTACAATTATAAGCAAAGCTAGTGGTAGTCACAACGGGCAAGTGAGGAGGAGGAGGGAGAGTGAGGGGAGAGGAGACAGGAGGCGACGGCTGAAGCTGCAGACACACGGGCAACAGGAGGCAGACTGGCACAGCGGCTACCGGACAGCGCCCGGACTACAGGGGTAACAGGCCCCGCGGCTCAAATAGCGGCGGACGGGCAACGGACCCACGGGCGGCTGGCACAGCTGGCTACGACTGGGCTACCGGGATAGCGCCCCGGACTACAGGTGCTGCTGACGACAAACTGGCAACCTCCGCTCATCCTCCCGCACACAGTCCCACCCCCCTGATACACACCCACTGCTACACCACTAGCTCTACTCCCACGCACCCCCCTAAAACCCTAAACCCCAGTCTCCCACACAACCACCCCCCTCAGCGACAGCTGCAGCAGTGGGAGACGAAGGAGGAGGAGGAGAAAGGGAGGAAGGCACACCGGCCACCCCCATACCCGCCACCCCACAGCTCGCCCCTCAGGTCGCCACGACGGACGACGGGAAATGGGGGAAGGGGAGAAGGGGGGGGGGGCCCACCACGGACCTGAGGGGAGGGCGGGGCCGCGACAAGGGGCGGGGCCGCGACGAGCGGGGCGGGGCCGCGACGGTCGGGGCGGGACCACGACGTAGGGTGGGGCCGCGACAGGTCGGGCCCGCGAAGGTAGGGCGGGGCCGCATAGGGTCCGGGGCGGGGCCGCGACGTAGGGCGGGGCCGCTTCGAGGGGCGGGGCCGCGACGCAGGGGCGGGGCCGCGACGAGGGGCGGGGCCGCGACGGTCGGGGCGGGGCCGCGACGGAGGGGCGGGACCGCGACAGGTAGGGCGGGGCCAAGCCGGGCAGGCGCACGGGCGGCGACGGGCCGGGGCGGGGCCGCGACGAAGGGCGGGGCCGAGCCGGGCAGGCGCACGGGCGGCGACGGGCCGGGGCGGGGCCGCGACGTAGAGGAGAAGCCCGCCGCGCGCCCCGGGGCGCACAGCGGGCAATGAACCGCCGCGCGCCTCGGGGCGCACGGCGGGCAGAAAACCGCCGCGCGCCTCGGGGCGCACGGCGGGATGAAAAAGTAGCAGCGGAAGCAAGGTGGGGACACACCCACAGGATCGATCCAAAGGGATCGGCCTGCTCTGATAGCATGTCAAAATAAGAAGAAAAAAAGAGGATTGAACTAGCAAGAATGAGGATACAAATAGCAAACCCTAGAAGGGTTGTACTCGCTATAGAGCACCCCACTACAGGCTAGAACAATAAGATAATATTCTGACAGAACAGACTGGAGCACAGAACGAAGCACATTGCTCTTCGCTACTTCCTTGCTCGTGAGCTGCAGCAGCGTGGTCAGCTACGACTTGCTTACGTGGCCTCTCAGGCCAACACTGCTGATATCTTCACCAAGGCACTCGCGCCTTGTGATCTTCAACGCTTCTGTACTTTGTTAGGTCTTGTACCTACTTTGCCTCACTTGCTCACTTCTTGACCTTGCTTGTACTGTGACCTATATATACTTGCACTTGCATGTTTAGCTTTATATATATATATATATATATATATGCTTGCATGTGAACTGGCCTTGTGGCCCTTGAACTTGTGCTCAGAATGTGTGGTGACGTTGGGATCCACCCTGAGCTTGCTGTGCTTTGCTTGACTGGTCTTGTGACCCCTTGTTCTCTCCCACTTTGCCTATGGGGGTGTGTCGAACTTATATGCTATAGTCTTTCTAGGCTGTAGTGGGGTAGACTGTATGGGGTACAACTTTCTAGGGTTTCATATTTGTACCCAACTCATTTCCTAGTTCACTCATTCCTCATTTCTTCACAATGAGCCGAGCGAGGTGAAGGGTATCGAGATTCAAAATGTGGGGAATGAAAATGTGAGTTTCGTTATTACGATTTTAGTAAGATTACAAATACAACAATTATAGGTGGCGCTTATAATCCGTAAGCCTTCAGGGGTGCGCTTATAATCGAGGACCGGATATAAGCGCCCTCATCCTTTTATAAGCGCCGGCGCTTATCCGAGGCTTGCGCTTCTATCCGGGCCTTACGGTAACACTGCTGATGTCTTCACCAAGACCTTTGGGTCTAGTGCGGTGATTATTAGCGTTTTTGCACTGCTCTTGGGCTCTGCCCACTCTGCCTCACTTGCTTGTCTCTTGATCTTGCACTTGTTGTACACTGATATCTATAATTGAGAAAGCTTGCTTTCTGTTCTTGCAAAGGCATCATGCTTCATTACAATTGCTGTAATTACAACATTCTCGTCCATCTATAGATTATACGGTACAAGTTTCGTATACGACTAGGGTGGGTGGATGGGGAGTGGAACTGCAAGTTCCAAATGAAGACGTAGGTGGAGGCAAAATGGCCTCCAACCCTCGTTATGTACTCGGCGAATTGTAATTCGCCGTTGCCTTGCTGCGATACAGTCAGTTGCGCTTTCACAATACGCATTTTTAGAAAGTGTTACACACTTTCAAAAAAATTCATTTTATATCTGCATGTTTCCTCTTGCTTGGTTGTAATTAGTGTACTGCCTTGCCTTGCTATTATAACTCTGATGTGAACTGGCCTTGTGGCCTTGTGCTCAGAATGCGTGGTGATCTTGAGATCCACCTTAGGCTTTGTATCGCTTTGTTCTCTTGCCTGACTGGTCTTATGACCGCTTGTTGTGTTGGCTATCTCTCACTTTGCCTAGGGGGGTGAGTAATATCTTAGTTATATGTTGTTTATTATGCTTGAACAATGAAGTACTCAATATATAGTATAATCCCAATTAGGGTTTAATACTTGTTCCTCACTGTTGCACCGTTCATTCATTCCTGAACAGTTCTCTCGACATACCTATGGCTGCAATATTTCTGGTGTGATTCAAACAGCCAGACCCAATCAACGCACACCAACATGGTGACCGCACCACTATAATGAACAAGCAGTAAAGCTACTCTCTAAGCACACTCCCTACACCATGCAGTCTTGGTAGGTCACCCAATAATGATCAACTTATGCTGCCCTAATTGCTAAATCGCCCTAGCACCATTCAGGATAACCCTGAAACACAGCGGCAGTAACATGAGGCCTGCCATGCCTCATCCATCATCACGCTACGCCTGCAGCGGCACAGCAACGCCCACCGCCCGTCACACACCACCCATCATGCTTCGGAGCCTCTCCCTTCACGCAGCACCGGCCTTCTTGACGAGCAGCTCGGCAATCTGCACGGCGTTGAGGGCCGCTCCCTTGCGGATCTGGTCGCCACACACAAATAGGTCCAGCCTGGTGTGGGTGGGGGATGGGGAGGGAGAGAGCAGGAGGGGAGGCACACAGGATGAGGGAAAGGCAGGGCCGCCCCCTTGCGGAACTGGACACCACACACTAACAGGTCCAGGTTGGGGTGGGTGGGGGGTGGATGAGGTGTATGGATGGGATAACTCGTATAGATGGAAAGAACTTGTGGGCCCACTTAACAATTGGTCACCACACACAATTAGGCTGGGGTGGGAGGGGAGGGGACGGGGGGAGGGTGGGAGGAATATTGGGATAGATATGTGCGGGGAGGGGACAGAGAGAGGGTGGGAGGGATGGAGGGAGGGACTATTGAGTGCAAATAGGTCGCCACACAGAAACAGGTCCAGCAGAAGGGTGATTCGCAAGGGAAGGGGAGAAAGTCGTAAACTTTATTCTGTATATTCTGTCAATTCATCAATCTCTGCTGCACTGCTTGCTTCCAGATTGCACTTTTCCTCTTCTTACAAGTGGCGCTTGAGGCATCTCTCAACCCCACCAGCCTTGTCTCTCAACCCCGCTCTCACCCACACTCCCGTTCCCAACCACTTCCTCACCCTCCACTTCCGCAACTCTCAGCCTCACCCCTTGTTGTCTGGTTGCGAGATGTCCTGCCGGATGCGGCCCACCGCCACGTCATCCTTGTTGGATACCTGGCGGGCAGCACGTGGGGATGGGGAATAGGAGAACACAGAAGGGCAGCATGAGTGGGGGGGACATGGGGATGGGATGGGGAAACAGAGAGGGGCTGCCTTCGGGGGGGGCATTTGGGAATGGGATTGGGAAACACAGAGAGGCAGCATGGATAGGGGGAAGGAATGGTGTGAAGGGAAGGCACGGATGCTGGGCAGAGATCGAACCAACCAGAGTGGCGAAGGAAGCAATCAGAGGAGGGTGACTGGCGGGGTGATGTGAAGCAGCACAGGCGACATGACAGCAAGTGGCGTGGGCTCACATCAAGTGGCGTGGGGAAGGTGTTGGTGTCACGGTCGTCAATGAGATACAACCCCTCTGCACCGCTCAGAATCTCCTTCGCCTCCACCTGCCAGGGTCACAGGAGTGAGAGTTGTGAGGGACACGGAGTGGAGAGGTGGATGGGGTAGAGTAGAGACCAGTAAGGGTTTGCTTGTTGTGTAAGGAGAGGGAGGTCAATGAGGAACAGCCCCTCTGCACCGCTCAGAATCTCCTTCGCCTCCACCTGCCAGTGCCAAGGAGCACAGTGGTGTATAGGGTAGAGAGTACACCGCTTGGTGCAAAAACTTGTTTAAAAAACAACTCTCCCTCGCATATGGCTGGATCGGACAAGGCGCATAGACGTGCATGGGTCGATGCCATAAGTCTCTATCTCACACACCTCTCCCTCCCACCCACGGACCACATACACACTCCCCCCTCCCCCCTCCCCCCTCCCCTCTCCCCCTCTCCCACTCACCTCAGACAGCGGCTCCTCGAGCGTGAGGTTGATGCTCTCTGCATGGGCGCGCATCACACCTGGTAGGCGAGATTTCTATCGCTCCATGCACACACACCCTCCCCTCTCTCTCACCTCGGACAGCGGCTCCTCCAGTGTGAGGTTGATGCTCTCTGCATGGGCGCGCATCACACCTGCCAGGTGACTCTGTCCCTCCCCCTCACGCAGCATCCCTCAAAAGACCCCTCCCCATTCCCCCCTCGCACCTCGGACAGCGGCTCCTCCAGTGTGAGGTTGATGCTCTCTGCATGGGCGCGCATCACGGGCACGCGGATGCACGTGGCTGTCACGGCCACTGAGGGGTCGCTCTGGAGGCATGAGGGGGGGTTAACAAGGGCATGCAAAGGAATGGGAGGGGGAAAGGACAGCAGAGATGGGGCTTGGGCAAGACAACACGCATCACCGGCACGCGGATGCATGTGACTGTCACCGCCACTGAGGGGTCGCTCTGCATGGAAGGGGGGAGGAGAGGAAAGAGCAGCAAGGGTGGGAAACCCTTTTGAGCGAGACAGCAGGCAACACCGGCACGCGGATGATGAGTGTTGCAGCGACGGCCACTGAGGGGTCGCTCTGCATACACAGGGGGGGATCACAAGGGCATGCAGAGGCAGGGGCCGTGGGGTGAACGGCGGCATTGGTGGGGTCTGCTTTTAGTCTCCAGTGCAGGGTCTGAGACATCTGGGCAACACAAGGTGACTCCTGAGTCGACCTAAAAAACACTGGCCGAAATCGTATTGCCCAACGCCGGCCTTAAGTGCACCATCAGTTACTTTACAGTGCAGGGTCTGAACCCTCACGCCCACAAGTGGCACTCACCCAGATCTTGCGCGTCTCCTTGACCATTTTCATCTCCTCCTCGTTGTACCCATTGGCCGTCATGGGCGAGTTGTGCGAGAACAGGTTGAACGCGTACTGGGCGCGCACACACAGAGGAGAGAACAAGGAGCGAAGGAAGGGGGAGTAGAGGGCAAGGGCAAGGGCAGGGCAGGGGCAGGCAGAGAGTCATTTACTCGGACTCTCAAAACTGACTTCTAACATACTCGCGTGAAAACAGGCCGAACGCGTACTGCTCGCATACATGGGGAAAGCGAACGCGGGCACGCATGGGAACGCGGCCACGCATGGGAACGCGGCCACGCAGGTGGACAGATGGCAAGGGCGGGAGACGGCAAGGGAGGGAGAGGAATAGGGAGAGAGAGAGGGAAAAAGAGGGAGGTGAGGGGAGAGGGAAAGGGAGGGGAGACGGCAAGGGAGAGGAGAGGGCAAGGGAGGGGGAGGGCAAGGGAGGGAAGACGGCAAGGGCAGGAGAGGGCAGGGGCGGGAGAGGGCAAGGGAGAGAGAGGTCAAGGGAGGGAGAGGTCAAGGAAGGGGATGGGTACAAGAGGGGAGAAACAATGCAGGGGGTGGCATGGCATGGTCACCTGGCGGCCAAAGATGGTGGTGGTGGGTGGCTTGCCTTCCAGCACCTGCTCTCACACGCACCGACAGACACACGGCAGGGACAGGGCAGCGCACGGAGGGAGGGGTATGATGTAAGGTGGTATGTGGACACGGGGCAATAGCACGGGGAAATGGCATGGTGGTGGTGGTCTTGCCATCATCCAGCACCTGATCTCACACGCACAGTCAGGAACAGGGGCAGGGCAGGGATATGACAGGGGCAGGGGACATGGCATGGCACGGAGGGAGGGGTGTGGGGTGAAGTGGTGTGTAGGCACATGGGGGTGGCATGGGGTCAACGGCATGGGGTGGATGGCGTGGGGGGGTGGCGTGGTGGTGGGATGCTTTGACATTTGACGGCGTTACCACTGACGTTCCCCTCACCACATTCCAGTTTCCTCACTGACCGCCCTTCTCTTTCCCCGTGTCCCTTCCCCCAATCACTGCCCACCCAATGCCCGCCTGCCTGTCCCACTTGCCCCATCCCCAACTCCCCTTGCCCCACGCGCTTACCTCCTTGGTCTGCAGCTCGAGCTCCGCCATGGCGGCCGCGCCCGCGCCACTGGCGGCCTGGTAGGTCGACACCACCATGCGCTTCACCTGGCCAGGGGGGAAAGACGGGGGGAAGTGGGCACAGAGGGGGACAATGGGGGGAAGGAGGATAAGGGACGGGGGGGTGAGTGAGAGCAGACCTGGTACGTTGAGATCACCATGCGCTTTACCTGGTGAGTGTGAGAGGGGTTGTGGGGGGGAGGAGGAGATGGGAGGACGAGAGTGGGGGATGAATAAGAAAGGGGGAAAGGAACGACGGGGTGAGTATGAGCAGGCCTGGTACGTCTCACCCCTCTCACCGTCTCATCCTTTTCACCGTCTCGCTACTCCCATTCCACCGTCTCACTATCTCTCCCTTATAACCCTTTCCCCCTCTCCCAGTCGCACCATGGCGCGGCGGTGGATGGGAGTGACGGCGACGAGGCAGATGATGGTGGAGCAGTTGGGGTTCCCTCTCCTCTCTCCCCCTCTCCTCTCTCCCCCTCTCCTCTCTCCCCCTCTCCTCTCTCCCCCTCTCCTCTCTCCCCCTCTCCTCTCTCCCCCTCTCCTCTCTCCCCCTCTCCTCTCTCCCCCTCTCCTCTCTCCCCCTCTCCTCTCTCCCCCTCTCCTCTCTCCCCCTCTCCTCTCTCCCCCTCTCCTCTCTCCCCCTCTCCTCTCTCCCCCTCTCCTCTCTCCCCCTCTCCTCTCTCCCCCTCTCCTCTCTCCCCCTCTCCTCTCTCCCCCTCTCCTCTCTCCCCCTCTCCTCTCTCCCCCTCTCCTCTCTCCCCCTCTCCTCTCTCCCCCTCTCCTCTCTCCCCCTCTCCTCTCTCCCCTCTCCTCTCTCTCTCCCCCTCTCCTCTCTCCCCCTCTCCTCTCTCCCCCTCTCCTCTCTCCCCCTCTCCTCTCTCCCCTCTCCTCTCTCCCCCTCTCCTCTCTCCCCCTCTCCTCTCTCCCCCTCTCCTCTCTCCCCCTCTCCTCTCTCCCCCTCTCCTCTCTCCCCTCTCCTCTCTCCCTCTCCTCTCTCCCCCTCTCCTCTCTCCCCCTCTCCTCTCTCCCCCTCTCCTCTCTCCCCCTCTCCTCTCTCCCCCTCTCCTCTCTCCCCCTCTCCTCTCTCCCCCTCTCCTCTCTCCCCCTCTCCTCTCTCCCCCTCTCCTCTCTCCCCCTCTCCTCTCTCCCCCTCTCCTCTCTCCCCCTCTCCTCTCTCCCCCTCTCCTCTCTCCCCCTCTCCTCTCTCCCCTCTCCTCTCTCCCCTCTCCTCTCTCCCCCTCTCCTCTCTCCCCCTCTCCTCTCTCCCCCTCTCCTCTCTCCCCCTCTCCTCTCTCCCCCTCTCCTCTCTCCCCCTCTCCTCTCTCCCCTCCCCCTCTCCTCTCTCCCCCTCTCCTCTCTCCCCCTCTCCTCTCTCCCCCTCTCCTCTCTCCCCCTCTCCTCTCTCCCCCTCTCCTCTCTCCCCCTCTCCTCTCTCCCCCTCTCCTCTCTCCCCCTCTCCTCTCTCCCCCTCTCCTCTCTCCCCCTCTCCTCTCTCCCCCTCTCCTCTCTCCCCCTCTCCTCTCTCCCCCTCTCCTCTCTCCCCTCTCCTCTCTCCCCCTCTCCTCTCTCCCCCTCTCCTCTCTCCCCCTCTCCTCTCTCCCCCTCTCCTCTCTCCCCCTCTCCTCTCTCCCCCTCTCCTCTCTCCCCCTCTCCTCTCTCCCCCTCTCCTCTCTCCCCCTCTCCTCTCTCCCCCTCTCCTCTCTCCCCCTCTCCTCTCTCCCCCTCTCCTCTCTCCCCCTCTCCTCTCTCCCCCTCTCCTCTCTCCCCCTCTCCTCTCTCCCCCTCTCCTCTCTCCCCCTCTCCTCTCCCCCTCTCCCCCATCTTCCCCATCTTCCCCATCTCCCCCATCTCCATACCCCATTTGCGCAATGCGCCATACCCCTTCCAATGGCGCACCTTGGCGCGGCGGTGTATGGGAGTGACGGCGATGAGGCAGATGATGGTGGAGAAGTTGGAGTCCCCCCCCCCCCCCGTTCCTCCCCTCGCACCATTTTTCCCCTCTCCCCGCCTTCACCAACGCCTATCCCATCGCCTCACCTTGGCGCGGCGGTGGATGGGAGTGACGGCGACGAGGCAGATGATGGTGGAGCAGTTGGGGTTCGCGATGATGGCGCCGCCGCCGCCCAGCTTGATGTGCGCCATGGCGTCGGGGTTCACCTGGGGTGGTGAAGGGCGTGGGGGGAAGGGGGGAAAGGCGTTGGGGGAAGGCGTTGGGGGAATGTGAGCGTGACTTCCGCCGCCGCCGCCCAGCTTAATGTGCGCCATGGCGTTGGGGTTCACCTGTGTGAGGGGGGGGGGGGAGGCGGGTGGGGAGGGTGGAAATGCGGGTGGGGAGGGCGGAAATGCGGGTGGGGAGGGCGGAAATGCGGGTGCGGAGGGCGGAAATGCGGGTGCGGAGGGCGGAGAAGCGGAACAAAGGAGAGTTGAAGGGAGGGGGGTTGGGGCGCGTGGTGGCGTCCGCCGCTCCCGAGCCCTGGAAAAGCGGAGGAACCGGGGGACGAGATACGCGCTCGTGAGGGCGCGTGGTGCAGCTGAATCGGCATCATAACGTTGCGAGGCGTGGGCAACGAGCGGTGTGCTCGACGGGTCCCCGCGCGCGCACGACGCCACGGGCGCGACGTGAGCAACTGGACGGGCCTCATAACTTGGTTGCGCACGACGTCACGGGCGCGAGCAGCAAGTCCTGCGCCGCCGTGCGTCGCGCGCGCGTGACTTCATGGTACTGCTGCGCTTCATCACTTTGCAATCCCAGCACCAGCCACGCACCTCGGGAACGACGAGCGGCACGCCGTCCGTCATGCGGAACGCGGAGCTGTTGTCCACCACGATCGTGCCCTCCGCCACCGCCGCCGGCCCAAACTTCTTGCTGCGCGGACGGAAGAAGGGGGTGGGGGAAGGGGGGATCGGGGAGGGGGAGGAAGGGAAGAGGGAGGTTGAGGGGGGCCACGGGCTAAGGGCTGCTCGCTTCACCACGATCGTGCCCTCCGCCACCGCCGCCGGCCCAAACTTCTTGCTGCGCGCAAGGGGGAGGGTGAGCGGGAAGGTGGAAGCGGGAAGGAGGAAGGTGATTGCGATGAGGGGTTCCGGGGGGACCGCGCGCGAGAGTGATCGGGAAGAGGGATGAGGCTGTAGCGACGGGGGTATTCCACGGCTTTCAGAATACCGTAAATCGCATGCAAGGATGGCCGCACACGAAGATGATCGAGGAAAGGGAAGACGTTGTGGTCGCATGATCGCACGCAACGGCGATCGATCGCAAGATCCAGCGTATTCCATGGATTTCCGCATACTGCAGAGGATGATCGCACGCAACGGCGATCGCGCGCAGTCGGATGGGCAGCAGCTGATGCGTGAGGCGCAGATGAGAGCGCGGAGGCATGAATGGTGATCGAGGGATTGGAAAACACGTGCACGAGCGAAGGGCGGCAGGGCGGCAGCGCCGCAGCGTACCTGATGGAACCTCCAGCGCTGAAGAGCGTGATGTGACGCCCTTGAAGCTCCCCTCGGTGTGAGGATGACTTTTGAGTCGACGCAGAAGTCACCATAGATTGCCTGATGGGGGAGAGAGGAGGCCGGCAGCGCAGCAGCGCACCTGATGGAGCCGCCAGCGCTGAAGAGAGCGATGTCGACGCCCTTGAAGCAGCAGAGGTGTGGGCGATCACCTGATGAATGATGACGTGATCACCTGCTGGGTGATTACGTGAACGAGCGAAGACCGGCAGGGCCTACCTGATGGAGCCGCCGGCGCTGAAGAGCGCGATGTCGACGCCCTTGAAGCTCTCCTCCGTCAGCTCCTCCACCGTGTACGTGCGGCCCTGCCATGGTGTGGAGAGGGGTGGAGAGGGGTGGAGACGGGTGAGCCGATGCGGGATGCAACGCGGAGATACAAGATCCGCTCCGCAAGCTCCTACACCGTGAACGTGCGGCCCTGTGATTGGTGGAATGAAGGGGCACGGGAGGCGGTGACTAAAGGCCCTCACACACATGTAGGCTCGAAGGTAGAGTAGAGGTGAACGCGAGGAGGTGGAAGCGCAAGCGACGGGGAATGCGGGATACAGACCTCAGAGGATCTGATCGCAACCCCTCGGCACCAGCGGCCGTGGATCGCGCAGAGACAAGGGTACCGGAAGGACAGGAAGCACGAGCGACGCGGAATGCAGGATACGGATGAGAGAATCTGGTCGCAACACCTTGGTACCAGCGGCCGTGGATCGCTCAACGACAAAGGTGGCAACGCGCCTCCAATTCGAGCACCAGCCCGAATCTTGACCTCCACGATATGACATTCAAGGACTGACAGTCAGATATTGACATCCAGAGGCTGACATCCAATGACTGGCATCCAGGGCTTGGCTCCAAGACCATGCGGAGAACCCGAAGCGCTTTCCCCGACCACTGAGCAGATACCCGAACCTCGTTGCAGATCCCCAAACCTGGAAGCAGACCCCCGAACCTGGAAACGGGACTTACATCGAAGTCGAACTTCTTCCCGGCCGATCGATAGCTGGCGAGCATCTTGAGCGAGCTGTACGGGAAGTCGCGCTGCGCGAGCACCTGAAGAAACTCCTGGCCCACCGCGCCAGTCACTCCCACCACCGCAATCGACGGACCGTTCTCCGTCAACCCCATTCTGACGACGCCGCGACGTGCGACGCGCGAGTTGCGCGAAACGGTCGCTTTCGGGAATGCGACGACGCGGCGACCAGAGAAGTCTGACGAGAGATGATTGGCCGACGGGCTCAGTGTTGGGGAGGGCTTGAGTGCGGCACTGCGGAGAGAGGAAGCCGAGAGGGCCATCAAGAAAAAAAGCAGAGGTCGGAGGAGAAGTTTGCTGTGCAATGCAAATGTTGATCTCAGCTTGAGAAAAAATGTGGCCTTGGGAAAAGGCGTGGAAAAAAATAGGTAAATAATGTTCTGTGAAAACTTACCTCGACTTTAGTCCTCGCGCAGAAAGCGGGGGTGGTCTTGGGAGGACTCTGAAGATGGGAAAAGCGGGAGGGAGGAGAGGCCGCAGATTTGGGAGGATGGTCGGAGCCACGCAAGCAGGAGGCAAGCTCTGATTCGACCTCTGCTCGCCGCGCGTGTGCTGGCAGCACTGCCGCGTCAGCAGATGCGTGCGTTCTCGAGGGAAATCAGGGGTTTTAGCAGGGCATAAGAACTAGTTGACTCAGTTTCCTCAGTGAAAAAGGGTAGTGGAAGCTGCTGCAGTGTGATACTGGGAGGTGGTTGCCTTTACCACCTCTCGAACTCTCACCATCTCCTCGCGGCCAGGGAAGTCCAGTGGGTTGAGATTCATGTTTGTATATACCCAAGAAATCCGGGAGAGTTCGACCATAACGACAAACGTTTGCGACAGCAACGAAAGCCCCAAAGCCTTGAAATGCAGCTATGGACTTCTCTTCATGACTAACACACGTGGGACAAATTCCCTCGCAGATACTATTGCTATCCCAACATTTAGGAAGTACAACGGGTTGAACTCCAATAGCTTGGCTCCTAATCAGAAATGTGCTGACGCTGCGTGCGAGTGAAACATGGCAGCGTGCCACTGGGCCTCAGCCTGAGCTTCCATCCAATTGAGAGATGCAACCTTCAGTGGCACGTGTCAGTCTCCTACCTATCCGGCTCAAGAAGTGGTGACTGGACAGGTCAGCCAATTCAAGCAGCAAACAATGCTTCACTGTACCTACAAAACAGTAATTTCTAGGAGAAATTATGTGCTGGCTACTTGGTTTCCCATGATCTTTCATACATACCAACACGGTTTACTCAAACAATGCGACTCAATGGGATTTCTCTCAAGCGACTGCTGCGATCAGGAATTGATCGACCCTAGGATCACATCAGGAAGGTTCGCACACGGTTGAGTGGTAGTGGTGGGCCCTTGACCTCAATAGCAGAGTGAATGTAAAATGCTTGAGATGATAAAAGCATGCAAATACAAAGGTATAAATAAGAGTACAAGGAAATTCAAATCGACCTAGGCTAGCCATGCACTCTAAGGGGTACATTCCCTTATTGCAGCGAAACTCAACCGTGCGACTCCAGATAGTTACGAAACTGTTCGGGCAGAATCATCGCCACTGCTGCTGCTTCATGCTGTGTACCCGACGGTCCAGATCATTTCGTAACTGTGCGGCCCTTCGCGTTACTTCTGTCCCTTCGTCTTCGACCTCGGTAGTGTGTGCTTCAATTGCTACGGTAAGGAGTGCACGGTGATGTTTTCATATTGTAGTGTTCGTAACATCCCCCTTCACTCCTGGCCGTAGCAGTTCTTGACCCGCTTGACTACTACGCTGAGTTCGGAGCAATACTGATACTACTCACGCGGCAGCTTCTTCGTGAGGAAATCAGCTGCCATATCACCCGTCGGATAGTAGGTTAGGTCAACCTTGCCCTTGTCAACTTCGTCCTTGACGAAGAAGTACCGCAGCGCGATGTGCTTGGTGCGGTTGTCAAAACCAGGTTTGTTCGCGATCCTGATCGCCCTCTGGTTGTCGCAGTGCAGCCGAAAGTTTGATGAAGCTGGGATTTTCTCCTCCTACAGCAGCTCTTGAAGGTAGAGACCCTCGCGAACAGCTGCCGTTGCTGCGATGAACTCAACTTCCGTCGAAGACATGGCAACCAACTCCTGTTTCTGCGATTTCGAGGAAATGGGACCGCTGGGCTCGACGCCAAATAGGAAACCTGTCCTGGATAATTAATTTTCGAGATCAGCACTATGATCTGCGTCCACCTATCTGACGATGTTGAACGATGCGGTTGGGATGGTGGAGTAGCAAAGCCCAACATTGGGTTTAGAGATGAAGAATTGAAGTGCTCGGTGAATATCTGAGAAGTTTTCAGCCGTTGGTTTGCGGGAATACCGAGCTAGCTGGCTTGCGATGTATGAGAGATCGAGCCTGCAGGTAACTGAGGCCAAGAGTAGACATCCAAGCTGCTGCAAGTAAGTTTGAAGCCCACCAGGGGACAGGGCTTTGTTGTCAGGTTTGTGGTTTGGTCCTGGAGTGCGGTAAGGGGTGGAGAGTCGAGCAGGTGCAATGTTGAAGCGCTTACAAAGTTGCTCTGCGTACTTGGCTGTTGAGAGATGAATGGCTTCTGGCAAGTGGGAGATGTGTGAAGAATGAAACGAGAGAATGGGTGAATGAACTAAGAAACAGTTGGGTACAAGTACTAACCCTAATTGGGTTGTACCACTTATTGGCTACCCCACTACAGCCTACACAAATGTATAAGCTATAATGTTCTGACACAACCCCATAGGCAAAGTAGGGGAGAACAAGCGGTCACAAGACCAGTCAAGCAAAGCAAAGCAAGCTCAGGGTGGATCACAAAGTCATCACACAGTCCGAGCACAAGAGTAAGGCCACAAGGCCGATTCACATGCAAGAACATATATATTAAGGTAAACAAACAAGTGCAGGTATAAAAAGAGTACAGGACAAACAAGATCAAGAAGTGAGCAAGTGAGGCCAGGTAGGCACAAGACCTAGCAAAGTACAGAAGCGCTGATGATCACAAGGCGGAAGGGCCTCGGTGAAGATATCAGCAGTGTTGGCCTCAGAGGCCACGTAGGTGAGACGGAGCTGACTACGCTGCTGCAGCTCACAAGCCAGGAAGTAGCGGAGAGCAATGTGCTTCGTTCTGTGCTCCAGTCTGTGCTCCCAACACAAGGCCAGCATGACCTTGTTGTCTACGTACAGAACTGGAGGAGAACGAGGCGGCTCTCCGAGGTCAGCTAGCAGGTAGGTGAGCCAGCGTAGCTCTTGTGCAGCCATGGCCCCTGCGTAGATCTAAGCCTCACAGCTGGAGCTGAGAACAGAAGACGAGCGGGTAGACCGCCACGAAACAGAGCCGGAGACAAGGCTGAAGGTGTAACCCTGTGACGACCGCTGCGTAGCCTGGTCGTCAGCCCAAGAAGCGTCAGCGTGACCTTTGAGGACTACTCGACGTCGCCCTCCAAGCACTAGCCCCATGCCCGACGTACTGCACACGTAGCGCAACACCTTCTTCGCTGCAGCCATGTGCTCTAGTCTGTGTCTCCCAGGAGCAACATAGCGTGCCAAGATGCTAAGAGGGTATGCAAGGTCAGGTCGTGTGCAGGTCATCAGGTACATGAGGCAGCCAACAAGCTCTGGGTACGGGCCACTCGACTCTACGGACTCATCCGAAGGCAGAGCTGAGAGCTAGTGACGAGTAGACAGAGGAGTGGCCTGAAGCGAGGAGTACGTGAAGCCGAAGTGCTGAAGGACCTGCTGCACCATGTGTGACTGAGTCAGGGTAATGGTGCGCCGTGCTCTGTCCCGGGTGATCTGCAAGCCAAGGTAGCTGCGCAGTTCACCCAGGTCTGTGCACGTGTGTCTCTTTTGCAGCTCAGACGTCACGTGGGCGAGTCCAGCAGTGTCAGCAGTGGCAAAGACCAAGTCGGCAAAGAGGTGTCGGTGCGCAGAAACAGCGACGGGTCGGCTGTAGAAGGAGCAAACCCAAGAGCCGCAAGTGTAGTCCTGAATGTATCGTGCCATTCACGGGGCGCCTGGCGGAGACCGTAGACTGGCCGCCGGAGGCTCCACTGGGTACGAGGAGGAAACGACCCAGTGAAGCCACGAGGGCGGCGCAGCCAGATCTCCTTGTGTAGGCTGCCCTGTATGAAAGCTGTGCAGAAGTCAAGAGAGTGAAGCTGGTAGTCGCGCTGAGCGGCTATGTGCAGCAGCACCCGAAGAGTGGTCATCTTCGGGGTGGGAGAGAAGGTATGAAAGTAGACAAGTCCCTGCCGCTGACTGAAGCCTCGAGCCACGTAATGCGCCTTGAAGACAGGCGGAGAACCCGACGGCCGCTTCACCCTGAAAATCCACATGCCATTGACGATGTTCGCCCCAAGTGGGGGAACCTCGTCGACGTAGGTACCTGTGGACTTCCAGGAAGCCATCTCTGCGTCCATGGCCGACTGCCACTGAGAGGAGTAGGGACCCTCGATCGCCTCAGCGTACGATCGAGGAGTCAGGATGTCTGGTGCATCCGGGTCTCCCTCAGGGGCAATCAGCGTGGTGTCAGAATATTATGCTCTAGTCCGTAGTGGGGTGCTCTATAGCGAGTACAACCCTTCTTGGGTTTGCTATTTGTATCCTCATTCTTGCTAGTGCAACCCTCTTCTCTCTTCTAAATTTCACATGCTATCAGAGCAGGTCGATCCCCCTTGGATCGATCCTGTGGGTGGGCTTACCACCTCCTTGCTTCCGCTGCAACTACTACCACTACACTCGGTGCCGCACGCCCCGTGGCGTGTGGCAGTTATTCTTCCCGCCGTGCGCCCCGAGGCGCGCGGCGGTTTTCTGCCCGCCGTGCGCCCCGAGGCGCGCGGCGGTTCTCTGCCCGCTGTGCGCCCCGAGGCGGGCGGCGGGCTTCGGCCCCGTCGACCGTCGCGTCGCCCTCGGGAGGCGCCGCGACGGGCGACGGGGACCCGTTCGTCGCCCCGCGTCGCCCGTCGTGGCTTGAGCGCGGCCCGTACAGGCACCGCGCGGCCCGTACGGGCTGCACCTGGCCTGCGCGCGGCCCGTACAGGCAGCGCGCGGACCGTACGGGCTGCGCCAGGCCCGCGCGCCACCCGTACGGGCTGCGCCAGGCCCGCCCGCGGCCCGTACGGGCGGCGCCGGGCCCGCGCGCGGCTCAGGCCGCCTGCGCGCGGCTCGGGCGACCCTACCAGGCCTGTGGTGGGCCCGTTCCTTGCTGCCCCTGCCCTCCCTGCTGTCCCCCAGTGCTTCTACTCGTGCCCCACCCCTCTTACTCCCCATTCTCCTGCATTAGGGTTTGGGGGTGCGGGGTATGGGGGTGCACCCACTGTGTACTGTTCCCTGCTCCTCCTCCTCCTCCTCCGTCTCCCTGTGCTGCAGCTGCCGCTGAGGGGGGGTGGACTTGTTGGAGCCGGTGGTGTGGTACTAAGGGGGGGTGAAGGGGGAGTGGAGCTAGGGGTGTAGCAGCGGGTGTGTGTCAGGGGGAGTGGATCGTTTGGGGAAGTTGAACGGAGGTTGCCGTCGTGTCGCCAGCAGCACCTGTATTCCGGGGAGTTGCTCCGGTAGCCCAGTCGTAGCCAGCTGTGCCAGTCGCCCGTGGGTCCGTTGCTTGTCTGCCGCTACTTTAGCCGCGGGGCCCGTTACTCCTGTAGTTCGGAGCGTTGTTCCGGTAGCCACTGTGCTAGTGTGCCTCCTGTGGCCCGTGTGTCTGCAGCTTGAGCCGTCGCCTCCTATCTCCTCTCCTCTCACT